TACAGTATTGAAATAAAATACAGTTCTTGGATTTTTCAGAGCTGCAGAAGCCGTAAATGAATTTAGAGATAAATTTTCTCAGCATGTTGACTGTGTTTTGAGTTCTAACTTCACTGGAAATCTGTTAGTGACTGCTGCGTCACTAACACCTGCATGAGACGTTAATGTAAATTTTTTAATGCTGAATAATTTAGATGAACCCATGGGATGTTCAGGTCATCTTGAGTATTTGCTGCTGAAATCTCCTTTGCTTATTACTACTTTTACAAATCTGAATCTGTAGGGGTAATAAGCTGGTGACATAAGAGAAAGCTAAGTACTAAAACCATCATTAACATCAAGAATCATTGAATGTACTTCAAAATAGCAATTCATTATGCAAATCTGGAAATAGCAGATCTTCTCAAGATACTTTCAGGACATGAGTAATACTCAACATTCCTTTGTCTTTCCTTACAGCAGGCTTTGGAAGAAGCTTTGACTGAGTAAAGGAAGGGACACACGAATGATTCCATCTGTATTGGTTCTGATTTTCAGACATTAGAGCAAAGGGGTACTTTTGTATTTGTTTTTAGTTTGGATCATTTCAGAGGTGTGAGAAAGAGTGCCTAAAACAGTTATTTGCCAGACTGAACCAGGATAACATCTGGCTAGCAGCAAGAGGAGAATCAGATTGGGGAAGGTTAGAAAAAGCTTAAACCGCATCTGGTGTAATGGGGCAGCTGTCATTGAGACTGCCCAGAGGATTGCTGAGCAGGGCTCAATGTTTGTAAGGAATATGGGCCAGATGACACCTTTTATTACATAGGTGAGCAGAGTAGGAGGCAGATAGAGGCTGTTAGGCACGGTATACTACATGGAACCCCAGCTGTGATACAGCAGTGAATGCACTCTCCTAACTTGATGCAGCAACACACTTCCAGTATTTGAAAGAAATAATTTAGCATGTTTCAAAGATACATTAAACAGTACTATCAAGTGAGGTAGTCACTCAGCTTATTGACAAGTTTTGGACTGAAGTCAGGAGCCGCTGATGAGAAAATACAAATTCTATAAAATTGGCCAGTGTGGTGAAAAACTGTCCCCAAAACATTACATTTCTCCTCTCTGCTTCCCAGTTTTTGTCATCATATCAGTTTCTCATTAACTTGATTCTTTTTTGTGGCACTCATGCTGCTTTTTTTACCATATCTGTATAATCTTCATCTTTGTCTCTGTTTCTTTTCATTTTCTTTCTGTCTAACCTCCCCTTTATCTTTAATGCCTCTCCAATTTAATCCACTGTCTGTGTCTTTCCTTAAAAAGAATTTGTATGTCTGGCTTTATGACTCATAATGTGTAAATGTACAAATGGATTTTCAGCTGTCTTTTAGCAGCATCATTTATGCATTCAGACTCACCTCATGAAGTTCACCTATAGATATCTGTAAAATTGACAGGATTTTTTACTTTTGTGTCACCTCAGACAGATTCAGACTGATAGAGATAAGAAAGATTAATCAGTGTTTCACTTCAAAAAATACACAAGAACAAATAATTTCTCATTGTTACATTCTGAAGAGAAGGATTGTGTGATGTGGAATTTCTCTTTTTCCTATTCAACACAGACAAGAATTACTCTCTTCTATATCTTGTCCTTGGTAACGTAGTGTTTTGTAATTATTTCACAGGGTTTTCAAGGAAAAACTGGTCCTCCTGGTCCTGGTGGTGTTGTTGGGCCTCAGGTACATCATTCAATTTCATAGCAACTTAACAAGTCCAACGTTTAATGGTTATATTATGGCTAAGGCACTTGCTACTGGTGTATTAAAAGAACTATATTGATGGTTGTATTAACTTTTGTAACAAATGCTGCATAACAATTTTAGAAAGGTGTACTTAATACTCTTCAGTGATTCCATGAAATATACAAATGATGCGGTTACCTTTCCACCTCCATTTTGTATTTTTTTTTCATGAGAACTCAAGGAGGCAGAGTTGTCTACCATGAAATAGTTTAGAAAGAAGAAAATGACATGTTCACGTAGCATGAGCAGCGGGTCAAAGGACGTGATCCTGCCCCTTTACTCTGCTCTCGTGAGACCCCATTTGCAGCACTGTGTGCAGTTCTGGTGTCATCAACGTAAGAAGGACAAGATGCTGTTGGAGGAAGTCCAGAGGAGGCCATGAGGATGGTCATGGGCTGGAGCACATCCTGTATGAAGACAGGCTGAGAACACTGGGGCTGTTCAGCCTGGAGAAGAGAAGCTGCGTGGAGACCTCAGAGCAGCTTCCAGTGTCTGAAGGGGGCTACAAGGATGCTGGAGAGGGACCCTTCATCAGGGACTGTAGCGATAGGACAAGGGGTGATGGGCTCAAACTGAAACAGGGAAAGTTCAGGTCAGATCTAAGGAAGAAGTTCTTTACTGCAAGGGTGGTGAAGCACTAGAACGGGTTGCCCCCAAAGAAGTAGTAAATGCTCCATCCCTGGCATTGTTCAAGGCCGGGTTGGACAGAGCCCTGGGTGACATTAGTCTAGTGTGATGTGTCCCTGCCCATGGCAGGGCATTGGAACTAAATGATCTTAAGGTCTTTTACAACTCAAACCAGTCTATGATTTTATGATTCTCTGTGACTTTCTTGTCAGAGGCCAAACTTCAGTCACTTTTAGACTGTGGATAGATTCACTGTCAAAACTGCATTATTTGTAACAAAATCAAGCATTTGGATTGCATGAGCTTTTTTAGGTAATTTTTTTTTTAGTGAAAATTTTCAGTTAGTGAATCTGAAGAGATATCTTTCAACATTTCCACATTCCAATTCATATTACTCAGAAAAACAACAGTACAGATAGTGTTTCAAGACAAGCATAGTGCATTTCCTTCCTGTGTCCTTTTTGTAACCTCCCCCTATACATGGATGCACACTGTGTTTTACGGCTTCATTGCTTAAGGAGCAAGGATGGCATTTTACTCTTTGGAAGCTGTACAGATGTGTCTGCAGGCAGAATGCAGTTCAAGGTTTATTTTATAGGACAAAGATACTTTGTAAGTCAGCTTTGCCTAGAGGGAAGGGTGAGGAATGTATGCTAACCAATGGTAATACTATTTTGTAACGGATACTCATAGCAGCTGGATGTTAAGAATCTGCTCCTCCCCACCTTCCACCCCCAAGACATGCATTACCTTGAGATGACTGACTTTTTACTTTTGTGCTTAGGGTCCTACTGGTGAGACTGGCCCAATTGGTGAAAGAGGTCATCCAGGTCCTCCTGGTCCACCAGGTGAACAAGGCCTCCCAGGTGCTGCAGGAAAAGAAGGTGCTAAGGTATGATGTTGCTTTGGGAAACAAATTGGAAGGGACAGGTAAATTGCTGACAGTCTCATATTTTAAATCATCTTGCAGAACATGCAGAATAAAATCAGAACATACAGTATAATATCACAGTTGGTACATTTCACCTAGAGAGATTTTGAAGACTGGAGAATTCCAGTTTTGGAGCTGTGTCTGCTTACACTGAAATAATAAGAATTCCCTTGAGCCAGTAATATGTATTTTTGTCATAAAAAAACAGTTTACATATATGTCAAGGTTTAATTCCAGCTGGCAACTTAAGCCCATCACACAGGGATGGGGGAGACAATCAGAAGAGTAAAAGGGAAAAAACTCACAGCTTGAGGTAAAGACAGTTTAATAAGTAAAGCAAAAGCCATGCACACAAGCAAAGCAAAACAAGGAATTAATTCACTTCTTCGTAATGAGAGGCAGGTGTTCAGCCATCCCCAGGAAAGCAGGGCTCCATCATGCATAACTTGAGAAGGAAAATGCCATAACATGCCACATGCCCTCCTTCCTTCTTCCCCCAGCTTTATATGCTGAGCATGATACCATACGGTATGGAATATCCCTTGGGTCAGTTGGGGTCAGCTGTGTCCTCTCCCAGCTCCTTGTGCATCCATCAGCCTGCTTGCTTGTGGCAGGTGTGAGAAGTAGAAAAGGCTTTGGCTCTGTCTAAGCACTGCAGTAAGGGAAACACCCCTGTGTTTGCAACACTTTTCAGCACAAATCCAAACCACAGCCCCATACTAGCTGCCATGAAAAAAGAAAAACAGGTATCCATCCAAAACCAGCACACTATGCATGGTAATGTAGTAGAAATACATAGTAATGACATGTTCATACTAAGGCATTGTTGTGGACATTGTAATTTAAAGTAGGAGGTTTACTACTAGCTAAAAGGCAAATTTAACCCCTTACTGTTTGGCCACCATTGTGGCACAAGACAAATGCTGCTTATCTTAGTTGTTACGTAGTAATTTTTAATCTTATATTTTTAGTGAGCATTGTCAGTTTTTAATGAATGTATCTTTAAACATTTTTATGGATTACGGTGATTGTCACTATTTATATTGTATAACTAATACTGTATTTTTAATTTAACCATAGTGACAGACTATTGTATTGGGTGAATTGGTGCAGGCATAATCTTTTTTGTCATTACTATAACTAGGATCTGGTATTTCATTTTCATCATTCATTTAATGACTACTATAAGCATTTTAAACATTCTTTTAATCAAAATGTAATATGTTTCTAAGGGTGACCCAGGCCCTCAAGGCATTCCTGGGAAAGATGGACCAGCAGGTCTTCGCGGTTTCCCTGGAGAGAGAGGCCTTCCAGGTGCTCAGGTATGATGTAAGCTAGAACAATTGACATGATGTTTCTAAATACAAGAAATCAATGGATTAACTCTTTATTTTCATGGAATATAATAGGAGAACAAACATCAAGCATCCCACATTGTTAAGTATCATTGGCTATATAAGTAAAAACACATTTATTCAGTTTCTTGTCTTTGGATTTCTACATTCTTCTGTTTATGTATTGCAGAAATAACCCTTGAACTTTCCAGTGTGAGAGAAAAGCTTTTTTTTCCCCCTTTTTTTCATTTTTTTAGGGTCCAGCTGGTTTGAAAGGAGGGGAAGGCCCACAAGGCCCACCTGGTCCACTTGTAAGTAAACATAATAACTTTATGGAAATAGAAACAGTATTATGTAGTAACCTTTTTTCTTCTTTACATGCTGTGATGTTTTCATCAACACAGTCTGTAAACCAGCAGATAGATGTAATTTGAAGTGATCAATAATTATTTTCTACTAGTTACACACTAACAAACATTCAAGGAGTGTGAAGGTTATGAACTTCTGAAGCCTTCTGCTAGCAGGAGGTATGGGATTTATTTGTTGCTCAGTACTTGGCACTAACTCCTTATTGAGATGAAAGAGGTCTTCCATAGTGGAAAATCTATGGATAGTCAATAGTGGATTCATGCTGTTGTGGTGGGTTTACTTGACTGCACACCAGGTGCCGACCAAGCTGCTCTACCAGTTCCTCTTCTTACCTGGATGGGAGGAGAAAGAATACAACAAAAGGCTCATGAGTTAAGATAAAGACAGGGAGATCGCTCAGCAATTACCCTTACAGGCAAAACAGACTTGACTTGGGGAAATGAATTTAACTTATTACTGATCAAGTCAGAGGAGGAGAATGAGAAATAAAAACAGATCTTAAAAACACCATCCCCACACCCCTCCCTTCTTCCCAGGCTGAACTTTGTTCCCAAATTCTCCATTTCTTCCCCCAAAATGGCACAGGGGGACAAGGAATGGGGGTTGTGTTCAACACACATTCTGTCTGCTGTTCCTTTCTTCTCATGCTCTTCCCCTGCTCCAGAATGGGATGACACCCACAGCAGACAGTCTTCCAGGAACTTCTCCCACAGGGGTCCTGCCCATGTGCTGCAGTTCTTCATGATCTGTTCCAGTGTGGGTCCCTTCCACAGGGTGCAGCCCTTGAGTAACAGACTGCTCCAGCATGGTTTCCGTGTGGGGTCACAGCTCCTGCCAGCAAGCCTGCTCCAGTATGGGCTCCTTTGCCCGCAGGGCCACAGGACAAGGATAATCCAGGAGCTTCCTCCAAAACAGGCTTCCCACTGGGTCATAGCCTCCTTTGGGCACCAGCCTGCTCTGGCATGGGGTCCTCCATGGGCTGCAGATGGATGCCTGCCCCCTTGTTAACCTCCATGGGCTGCAGGTGGATATCATCTCCCTTGTAACCTCCCCAGGCTGCAGGTGGATACCCACTCCACAATTAACCTCCATGAGCTGCAGGGGGACAGCCTGACTCTCCATGGTCTTTGCCCACAGGCTTCAGGGAATTTCTGCTCTGGTGCTTCCTCCCCGCTTTCTTCACTCGCCTTGGTGTCTGCAGGGTTGTATGTCTCACGCATTCTCACTCCTCTCTCTGATTGCAATTGGTCTTGCCCAATCTTTCTTTTTTTCCCTCCTTCTTAACTATGTTATCCCAGAGGCATGACCACTGTCACTGATAGGGTTGGCCTTGGCCAGCAGCTGGTCCATCTCGGAGCCAGCTGGCATTGACCATTGGTATTGGACACAGGGGAAGCTTATCGCATCTTCTCACAGAAGTCACCCTTGCAGCCCGTCCTCCCACCCCCCAAATCTTGCCACATAAACCCAGTATGTCTTTGTTCCTTTGTGAAGTGCAGTTCACGTATGCAGTTGACCCGCATAATGTTAAAAAATACTGCTGGTGTTGTGCAGTTGCATAAGCTAGCTTTTAAATATGTGCATCCACTACATTTGCATCCTTACTACGGCATCTAATATTCGGAACCATATACCGGCCTATGTGTAAGGTTTGATTCTTTTTAACTCATTGTGAAACAGATTGGTTTTGTTTAGATTTGGATAGCCAAACTTTCCAGCCATAAAGAATAAAACTGATAAATATTCTCCTCTTCTTTAGTAATTTCTGGATGATTGGGAAATGTCACCCAGCCTATTTCTTTCCACCACTGTTTTACAGTTTCTTACTTATTTGATATCTTAAAAAAAAAAAAAGCAAACCAAAAAAACCAACAAAAAACAATCCCAAAAAAGTTTGAAGACAGTCCTCTCAGAATCTGTTGAGATTGTTCACTCAGAGTTTGGAGATCTCAACATATTTAAAGAAGAGAACAGATCTTAATACTGTTTTGAAGTGCTTTAAATTTGGTACAGAGAATGACTTGGGGATGATTATTTTTGCCAGAGCAAAAAGTTTAGATTCTGCAGTAAAAGGGGGAAATTGTAGAGCAAGCTTAAGAATTTTGGTAAAGTATAATGAGCACTGTAAAAAAAAAAATCTTATTTTGGAAAATAGTAACATGCAACTCGAAATCTTCCATAGAAATCCGTGGGAAAATAGATCATGCAAGAATATAAGAATGGCTTATTAACAATATCATTTCATGAATTTGAAAAGAAATGATGCATTATACGATTGCTTTAGAGTTTTAGAAGATATGATGATCAAAACCATCCATTGCTTTCAAGACTTTATCTTGACATTACTTCCTGAGTGAAGCATACTTATAGTAAGGATCAGTGAAACCATTAAAAGTTATGTTTGCTTGGCTAATAACAGCTATGTAAAATCATGTCATTCAGTAATATTCCCTCTCAGTATTTTAAGCTCAACATAGGCATAAAAATGTATTTGCCACCTTTTTGTAGTTATGGTTTTTTCTTTCTGATTATGATGGAAAAGCAGTGATATGTACTCATTCCTCAAAACAGTAAATTATTCTCCCTTGGACGGTGTGACTAGGCATTTCCTAGATGGTCATGTGCTCAAGAGTTTTTTTACATTTAGGTTCTTGTTTCTTGTTTCAACTTTTATTTATACCTCTGCTGCCTTTTTCACTTCAGTTTCTGATAGTCATCTGCTGGAAGTATTTGAAGTAGGGTATGCTTAATTTGCCTGTTCTCTGTTGTGATTTTTTTATGCAAGTTTTACAAGGATGCACTGGTATTCAAAACATGGTACAGTTATTCCCAAATGTCAATTGTGTAGATTTTGACAGTCATCTTGTCAACTTATTTCTTTCATTCAGTGCAATTGTAGTAAAAAAAAATATCAGCACAGCTATTCCCGTTAGACAAAAAAGTGATGCAATTCTGTGTATTTCAACAGTAAAGCTCTCTTCTGTCCCTGCGAATCATATTGAGATAGGAATGCATGAAATGAGGAAGAAAAACCCAAACCATAGTATAAGGTTCTTGGTTTTGGATTTTTTTCTACACTATTGGAAAAGATCTGCTGTAGCGCACTTTTAAGCTTTACTTCTTTATTTCTTAATACTTGGTAGTCAAATTCTTAAAATTAATTATTTAATTCATAATGCCTTTAAGCTGTTATTCTTTAAATTGAGAACTTGCATTTTTGCTTTACAGTTCTCCTTAACACCATGCAGTATGTATACATTCCTGAAAGGCACTAAAATAGGGTATCTGGGAATGGAATGGGATGGGGTGGAATGGAATGGAATGGAATGGAATGGAATGGAATGGAATGGAATGGAATGGAATGGAATGGAAGCTAGCTGGGAGACCATGCCACCCCATCTGTTAGAAGAAAAGATGAATCAAAATCAAGAAAGCATAGACCAGAACAATTTCTTCAATCTAAAGGTCATGTCTGGATTTTTTTGAAGGAGGCCTTAAGGCTGTACCGACCTCTCAAGCAGATAGTTCAGGTGCAGTGAACCAGAACTCTTCTGAGCATGCACAAACCAGACAGCACAAATGTACTTGACATCAAGTGTACTTGACATTTAACACACCCCACTTTTCCAGGCAGGATGCCCACATAGTAGTTGTACCACTACTATCACAGTTTGTCATTAATATGCATCACATAAGTTTGTGAGGTGTTTCTGAATTTAAATTCAGATGGTCCGTGTTTTTTGAATTCTATAATGGGGTGTGTATAGTTTGATATTTTAGTTCAAAACATGAGAGCCTTTTTGAGGTGAATGTCTCAATCATCCCCATTTACCATCCTTTGGTTCAGATCATGGAGCTCTCTTGGAGCTCATGATCAGTATTCCATTAATGAGAAACTAAATGGAAGAGAAATTCCAGGATCACTTCTAATACCCACTAGATAATGGGAGTTCAGTGCCAGACAAATTATTTGCAGTATAGTCCAGAAATACAGAGTATGGATGTCAGGAGCCCAGTACCAACAGCTTCTTCACTTTATAAGGCCATTGCTGTTGGGGCCACAGTTCCTGCTAAGGTAAACATAGTCATAGAAAGGTTCACTTAGGAAGCTCAGAATTTTTTGCATACTGTTTTCCCAGTCTTTGAGAAATGATGTAGTGATAGCAGGAATTGTAAGCAGAGTGGAAAGAGAGTTTGAAGGGTAAACAGTTCATTGTTTTTGAAGTATACCTTGAGTTCACTATAGCACAAGCAGTGCCCCTTGGGCCACAAAGAGCACCAAGCTGCCCTGTGAGTACTCCAGAAGTCTTCAGTAGGATTTGTTTCCTATTTCATCTTTAATTACTAACTTGTTATATTGAAATTGTTTTTCAGACCAAAAAAGGTGCAGAGATGCCCTTCATACTGGGTTTCTGTGAATCTGTGAGGACAACAATTAAACCACAATAGCTTGGGGTTCTTTCACAGTATCTCATAGCAGACCGTGAGCATCAAATAGTCCTAAAATATTTTCCCATCTATTTTTAGCCAACAGAGGATAGACACAGGAGTGTCATTATAATGGAGTCTTCATTTGCCATTTATTTATAATAGGAAAAGAACTCATGCCACTGGATCATTTTCCTCCAATTCTCTGTCAATACCAATTGCTTCTAACTAGCATATATAGCCAATTACAAACTTTTTTGGCTAGTGCATGCATCTGCAAGCATACCAAACAAATGACCGCTCCAAATACTGTGCATGCCAATTACTGTGTTTAGAGGAATTTGAACAAAAGAAGGAGATGCATGAATGTACTACAAAGCAATGGGGTTTTTTTTGTGTTTTTTTTGGTTTCATTTTGGTGGTTTGTTTTTTTGTGTGTGTGTGTGTTTGTTGTGTTATATTGGGTTTTGGGGGGGGGGGTGTTTGGTTTTTTTTTTAACAGTTCTCTTTTATGTGCTATTTTTGTCTTCTGTTTGTTTTCTCCCCTTCTCATACTACTGTGTGGAATGCTGAATGCTAATGAGAGAAAACTCTTTGGAATGTCAAGCAGTCATTTTTCATTAGTTTATTTGGAATAGGATGCCTAAATTGGTCTCTGAATAAGCCAGCTGTAGGCTACCCAATTATCAGCACTGAGTTATCTAGCACTAATCTTCCTCTCTTTGATAACATTTTTCATTCATGAGAATCTTTGCTTGTTAGACAGTTTGTTAATCAGTGAAAAGTATTGCTTCTACTATGTAGTATATACAATAGCTATAGTTACATATCTCCTCACAAAAAGTGAGAAAAAACATGGTTACTAATGAGTTTAGTCTGTATAAGAGAAATGCAAGAGAAAGCATGACACTTCCATTATGTTTTAATTAACAAATAGATTCAAGACTGTGGGTACCCCTGCAAGACCACAGCTTAACAAGGAGTTTAGTAATATAACAGGATTGTTTCAGAGTGGGACAGAGAGGCAATAAAGGGTAATAAACTTTGAAAAATAGAACAGACTTAAGAAGCTGCCTAAAATGCTTGTATGAGTTGTCACTGTAATTTAAAGTGTTCTACTTTGATCAGAGGCCATTCTCACAAAGACATGAGAGGATCCTTGAAAACAGAAGGTATAGTTTCTGTTCATAACTCATGTTGATTTTAAGCATAACAAATAAAAATGATGCAAAGATAGAGATGAAAAGTTGAACTAGAAATTATGGCCACTGTTAGTGTCTGCTGTCTGATACAGAAAAAATCTATGACTTATTTAGATTTTTTTCCTCTCTATTCTTGCATCCTACTGAGGAGGTGGCCTAAATTTGTTTAGCTTACAAGACATGACAAGATCAGAGACCCTGGTAGCATATCTGCAGGGTACGGCATTTTTCCTATTGAATTCACTGAAGTCTTAGAAACTAAACCAACAGAAATAGGACTAAAACTTAGGCATCCACCCTGACCTAAATAAATAAATAGACCAACACTTGGAAGGATAAAGGCATCTGTGATTCCTGCACAAATAATATTTGTTGAACACTCACACAAAATCAGATTTTACTGAGTTAATTTGCAAAAATATTTGCAGCAACCATTCATCGTTCTCTTCTGCCACTGTTACCTGAAGGGAAAAGCCCTTTCTTATGGTCAGTCCAAGAAGAGTTCATCATGATTAAAAGTAAAAACTTGGGCCCTCATAAATGAAAGCATCTTAAAATTCCAGTGTTACAAGAGCCAGCAAATTTGATCATTCTTAAACATGAAATAAAAACTTGTCTGTTCAGGGCCTCCAGCTACACCACCTATTATAAAAGATTCCAAGTATCACTCCACTTCCAGTGTGACAGCTGAAATGTGAAATTACCAGTTACTTTAAGGTGTTACAAACTGTCTTGTAGGTGTCAAGCTGAAAAGCTAGAGAAATATTACTGTACAGTAAACAAAACTTCAGCAGTGCTCTATTGATGCAAAAATGGTGAATTATTTGAAACACAGAACCCAAAGATGCTGCCAAAGTGTGAAAATACAGAAATACAGATGAGAGTACAGCTCTCTTTGCTTCTCAGTTTTCAGTGAGCCCACAGATTTCAAGGTTAATTCTGTTGCTGTTATTAATTTTTTTTTTTTTTCCCATTAGACTTTCAAGCACAAGGCTAGCTCCCATGCAGAATATAATGGAACAGAATACCCCACTGTCTTTGTTCCCATGCTCTCCTATCTGCAGGGCACAGGAAGGATGTACAGCATCTTGAATCCTCAGGAAGTATGAGGACTAGCAAAACTGGATTTCCTGTCAGAGTTGTTGGCCAGTGATGGTGTAAAAAAACACAAAGAAGCTCTGTCATTCTCCATACTCTGCCTGTACTCAGGAGAGCATCATGCTTCTGTCTCCCTGCACATGCTGGCTCTTGTGGAGACATAGGAAGAAGCAGATTAGATGGCAGTTAACCTCTGTCAAGGCACAGGAAGTTTTCCACTCTGCTGTCAGGAATTCATATCACACTTGGTCAGAATTTGCCTGTGTGATCAAGGAGGTATTAGGAATTCAAGTGTAAATGTTTTTTCCTCGTGGTTGTTTTCTTTCCATAATGTGCCTCCAAACAGGTGTCCATATCTTTGGTTGTGTGTTACAGAGGACTTTATTGGTAGATCACTATTTGGAAATTAACCCAGCTTGCTGAAATGATTTAAAATCAGCACTCCACATTGTGGCTTTTAACTAACTGATAAACAAATATGGGTAGGCCAAAATTTAACTTTTTGATTCTGAAATTCCTTTTATTTGAGTAGAAGTTCTAATCTGTACTGTTACCTCTTCCTTTCTATCCTTTTAGGAAGATTTTTTAATACCAGAGCACCTTGTTTTCATTTCCTTTTTCCCCTTCAGCACTACATAACAGCATATGCCATCTGTACTCTTAGAAAGTGTAAGGAGAGGAAAAAACGAGTCCACCCTAGGTACCTCTTTTTTTTTTTTTTTTAGAGGCGTGCAGATTTTTACATATCTACAGAGTATAGACAGGTATATAAATATACAGAGTCATTCTTTCCATTTCAGGTATACCCTATATACCTAAATTCTCTCCATATAGGCATACTGTATATACCTATATATATAGGCATATATGTAGAGAGAGATATTCTCTTGATTTTGTCTAGTTAGCTTAATCCAGAAGAAATCATAAAGGCACGGCTCAAATGATAAATGGTTATGGAGCTTGGTTCTGTGGCAGATTGACATATTTAAAGGAAAGGTTGGCTCTTTATGGAACAGCCATAAGCCCTACACTGCTTCAAGTGAAAGAACTGAGAGGGAATGTAGAAACTAAATTTTCATTTATGGATGTTTTGGTAGTTCCAGGTAGAAAGGAATGAAGTGATGACAGTGGTATGACTCATTTAAAAGTGAGGCTTATTGAGGCTTTTCCTATCTATTATTGTCCATAAAAATATATTCTAAAATACACAGTTCAATTTTTTCCCATATATGACATCTCTATTTCCCCTTTGAATTTGCAATATTAGGTTTTTAACTTCTGTGCTAAGCTAAAGATCCCTGTACATTCAAGTGTCCTCTGTGTAACACATCAGATGAGTCATACTTCAGTAGATTTTTACACAGGTGACTTGACCGTCACAGCAGTGTTCAGCAGGAAACCTGACTAAAAATTTGGGTTGTGGTGAGGGTTAGTTCTGTATTTTAATATGGTGAATATTCTTTCATCAAAGTTGTATGGCAGTGTATTTTGGAAACAGAAGGGAAAACATTCTTGAAAACAGGCTGAAGCACACTTCTATTATGATGAATACAGGAAGGGGTGAAAAAAACCCAAGTAGCACTGAATAAGAACTATTGAGTATGAACTTCAGGTGAGTTCTTCCAGCTTTTTTATTTACTTGCACACATGCTGAATGCGTATCCTTCTACCAGATGGAATCTCAGTGAATAATAGATTGTCTTCTCTGTTGACCCGAGTCATGAAAACCACCAGCAGTTATCAGGCTTGTATCGAATTATCTTGCACTGTCTTCTTTCTTTCCAGGGTTCACCAGGGGAACGTGGAGCAGCGGGCACTGCTGGGCCAATTGGTCTACCAGGTCGTCCTGGACCTCAGGGTCCTCCAGGCCCTGCAGGAGAGAAGGGTGCTCCTGTAAGTAATCACAGAGTCACATAAAACTATTACAGCACAGACATTTCATTTAAGGATGTTACTCTTACCCACTCCAGTATTTGCCTGTTAAACATATCCTCAGAATACCTGATCTAGTCCTTTTACATTTACAATTAAGTAAATAGTAAAATGTTTATTGTCCTAACCTGTAACACCCAGGCAGGGTTAAGCCTGTTATTATCACAGCAGGGAATGGATATAAAAGTCTGTGAAATCATTCTTTCATTAAAACTTTGTACCCAGCCACTCTGTATTAGTGTAGACGTGTATTTGTCATTGGCTTCCGTTATTATTTAGTATAATTTTCTGATGCATTCTCTTCCTGTTACAGTTTCCTTTCTGTTTCTCTTTTCCTATTATTTTTTAGTGGTAGTACGACTCCCTGTACTGAAATCTCCATTACTCTCCTGTGATAATGGTGGATCACTTCTTTTTCTTGAAAACCAGGGTGAAAAAGGTCCTCAAGGTCCCGCTGGGCGTGATGGAGTACAGGGTCCCGTTGGACTTCCTGGTCCTGCTGGTCCTAGTGGTTCTCCTGGAGAAGATGGTGACAAGGTGAATCATTAGAATTTGTATTAGTGCATCTGTGAGATCTGTCAGTAAAGTTCTCTGTAGCTTTTCTCACCGTAAATACAACAACGAAACAACTCTTAACCCTGCCTCCCCCATACTCCTTCTGCCTACTGCAAAAAAAAATGAAAAACCCTTCTATAATCAGATGCCTGAGGAGCAGATGCCATGGGACACTGGGATTTGTGTTCAAGACTAACATTTATCCTGGCAAAGAAACAAGGATGAAAGTGTGGCAAAACAAATCAAGGCAGATGATGACAAAATTAATTCTTGCTTATTTTAGAAACTTTATTTGCTGAATGAGTAAAATAAAATATGAGTAAAATAAAATATTCTCAGTAGCATATAGTGATTTGGAATCACTGAATAGGTTGAGGGTATCAATATAATATGTTCACAGCAGAGATATTCTGCTGACTTCTGGCAGAATTTAGGATATAGCACCTTTCAGGATCATCTTGCATGTTTGTTCAGTCCTGCACTGTTCTGTTAGCATAAGGTAAAGGTAATGATTTTGAGGTTCATTTTTATGATGCATGTGTGTTATTTATCCCACAGGGAGTATTTTCTGTGATTTAATTATCTGTTAGTATTGTATAAAGAAAACATATTTTTCCCGGTGATTTGAATAATTTTGAAGTTTCGAAATACTGTACACTTCAGTGAGAAGTAGTTGTTCGGTCGCATACAGTTAGATGAGTCTGTAAATCAGGGTGCTTTCATTATAAGTTCATACTGAAGGTGACATCAGGAGCACAATTTCCTTTATTTAGAGCTCAGTAGGACTATACTTCAAAGCCAGGTCTTGTTGCCCTTTGAATATAGCAATCAATACCTGGATTAATATGACATACTATTGATCGATGACGAATTGCCCCCTTTAGACCTTCACACTTAAAGCAGCAGCATAAAAAAAGGAAGAATCATACCAAAGGGGACATTTAAAGATACTGTTACATTGACTTCAGCTAGGTGTGAAGGAGACCATTTTAAACAAGAAGTTTAATTTTTAACTTTCCATTACAGGGTGAAATTGGTGAACCAGGTCAGAAAGGTAGTAAAGGCGACAAGGGAGAAAACGTGAGTAGCGAAATCCTGCATCTGTTACGTTCTTCATAAATAGAAAGTATTCATGCATGAAGTATACAGGTAGTCTTGCTACATCACTAAATAGAAACAAAGACACACTTCAAAAACGTGTCTTCAAAATAAGGTGAATTTTTAATGAAACACTAGAGGTTTGTAGTCCTAGAGCCATGCCTGTATTTAGTATTTCTCGCATTCCTTGAGCTTACAGAATCATTAAAATATAGCTAGGTAAAATACATTCCTTCCTATATAATTTTAATTCATCCATTCTGCATGCGAACTGGAAGAGACAAGGAATACACATACATTCTTTTACTGCGATTAAGTTAACTTCACTGACTGGATTGTGTGAACATGCCCAGCTTTAGCTTCTTAGGCATAATGATGAAGAATATGAAGACTCAATAGAGAAACCTACTAATAGAGTTTTAAAATTTGTAAAGAATACCTAATTCGTAGAAAGCACACTTAACTGATTGCAACATTTCACGACCTCAGATGAAATTCAAAATTACTTCGAAAGTTCAAGCACTGCCTCTATTAATTGAAGCCAGAAAGATACAAATCAGCTTTTTCTACTGTAAAATTTTAAGCTAGAAAGAATAAAACAAGGCACTTTTTTTCTATTTGATTTTTTTCTTTCCCCAAAAGTCAGAAAAGGTTTGTTTTTACTTCTCTTCAATTTCAAGATAAACTGGCATTTTAGTTCAGTAATTTTCCATAAGAAATAATGCAGGAGTAATTGCAGAAAGATTTTTTTTATTATTACTATATTTCATCAATATTCACATTTAGCAAAGCTCAGAGTTCAATATTGGGATATTCATATCTAAGCATATTTATTGTCTTGAAAACACTGTGTGGTTATTATCATTAATGACTTAGTATCATAAAAGTAGATTGCTTCTAAAAACCAAATTTATGGCTTACACATAATCAGATGATGTTCTATAGGAGGATACATAAAAATTCAAGCTAATTGCAGGTTTAAGATAATTTCATAGAAAAAAAATGTGTTAATAGAATATGCAAAAAAAAGACAAGCTTTTTTATTTTTAAAGATAAGCTTTTTCATTCCAGTTATTTATATGAGAGACTTTTACAGTTGCCAGTGCAGAATCCATGTACTTTTCACAACCTTATTTCATTAGATCAGATCACAAGTGCTATAATAAATTATTTGTTATGCCCTATTAACACAAATAATGTAATATTATATATATGGATGAGAGAACACTTCTGTTATAAACCCCAGTTTTCCAAGGAACATACGTATGACCAAGTCTGAAGCAACTTCCAGTCCAGACTAAAATTGCTCCAGCACCTGGGCCGGGTCAGTCCCAAGCACACCTAAGGGCTGGGGGAGACCGGATGGAGCAGCCCTGAGGAGAAGGACTTGGGGGTGCTGTGTGAGGAGAAGCTGCCCACGACCCAGCTTCACTGTGCGCTTGAGACCAGAACCCCCACATGTGCTGGGCTGCACCCCCAGAGCGTGAGCAGGAGCTCAGGGAGGGGAGCCTGCCCCTCTGCTGCACTCTGGGGAGACTCCACGTGGAGAAATGCATTCAGCTCTGGGGCCTGCAACACCAGAGGGATATGGAGCTTCTGGAGTGAGTCCAGGGGGGGCCACAGAGCTGCTGCGAGGGCTGGAGCAGCTCTGCTCTGGAGCCAGGCTGAGAGAGCTGGGCTGGTTCAGCCTGGAGAAGACTCCTTAAGGGAAGTCCTTAGAGCAGCTCCAGTGCCTAAAGGGGGCCTATATCTGGATAGGGAATTTTGACAAGGGCACGTAAGGATACGGTAAGAGGGAATGACTTTAAGCTTTTGAAGGATAGATCTAGATTAGACATTGGGCAGAAGCTCTTCCATGTGAGGGTGCTGAGGCGCTGGCACAGTGTGCCCAGAAAAGCTGTGGCTACCCCATCCCTGGCATTGTTCAAGGCCATGTTGGACACAGGGGCTTGGAGCAACCTGCTCTAGTGGAAGGTGTCCCTACCCATGGCAGGGGATTGGAGCTGATGAGCTTTAAGGCCTCTTCCAGCCTAAACCATTCTGTGATTCTATGATATTCTGATCTTGAATGCTTTGGTTAACTTGGTAAAATTAATTTATCAAATTAAGACATTTTAGAAGTTAGTTTTAAAGCTCTGGACTTTTTCCCAGTTAGCTGAAAATCAGTCTTAATCTATTTGCTCTTATAGTTGTAAACCAGCTGTGGGATGCATAAAGATACATTCAGCTCCTCCCTGTCCATCTAAAGAGGTTCATTAACAGTACAGGCCCTATGTACATGATAACTTCTGGTGTTTAAAGGAAAGGGCAGAAGAAGCATATGAAGCAGGTCATGGTCCAGTTTCACTTCGGGCTTTGCATGTGATCAAATGCATATCCTTTTATTTTTCCCTCTGACATGCCTCTTCGTTAGAGATGCTTCTGCATTAGAGAAATGGAGAAGAAACACATGCTGCACATTCCTCTTTCAGACTATTTTAGCAGACCAGCTAGTTATACTGAGCATTAGACTGTGACTACAATTCCCATCATGAGTACTAATTCATTTGGGCATGTTCCAGCAGATCTGCTGTCATGGCTTAAGCCCAGCCAGTAACTCAGAACCATGCAGCTGCTCACTCCCTCCCTCCCCTCTTTCCCCTTCTGCTCCTGGTGGCATGGGGAGGAGAATCAAAAAAATGTAAACGTCACAGGCTGAGATAAGTCCAATAACTAAATAATTTCTAGTAACAGTCCAATAACTAAAGTGTAATACAAAACCGGTACTACTACTACTAGTAAGGGAAATAACAAAGGGAGAGAATACAAAACTATAAGGGGAAAGGAAAAAAAAAACAATAAACACAAGTGATGCCTAATACAACTGCTCACCACGCGCCAGCTGATACCCAGCCCAACTCGAGCAACGATCTGGGCCTTCTGGGTAACTCCCCCCAGTTTCTATACTGGACATGACGTGCTGTGGTATGCAATACCTCTTTGGCTAGTTTGGTCAGGTGTCCTGTGTCTGCTTCCTTCCGGCTTCCCATGCCCCTCCTCATGGCAGAGCATGAGACTGAAAAGGCCTTGGCTGGGGTAAGTGCTACTGAGCAACAACTAAAACATCAGTGGGTTGTCAGCATTGTTTTCAGACTAAAGCTGAAACACAGCACTGCACCAGCTACTAAGAAGGAGAAAAATAACGGTTACAGTTGAACTTGGGTGATCTGCTTTACAGGTAAAGTGTCTGCAGCAAAATCCTTTCGAGAGGATATCCTGTATTTTCAGTCTCAAGGTCTGAGGCATTTAATGTTTTTCTTAAAATACAGGATTCAGTGTTCAGGCCTGCTTAGTTGAAGTGAATGTTACCGCATTTCAGGTCAAGTGTATTGAATCTTGTTTGTCCTCAATTAGAGTAATTTAACCCTGGCAATTCCAGAATGTGTTTATTTCAAATCTCCTTTCCTTTAAACATGCTGATAGATATTGGGGTAGGGAGAAAGGCCTCTGGAAGATTCTGAAGAAAAAGGACAGCACAATTTTATTGTTGATATACATTCTATCCTGAGTTTTAAAACCTCCACAGTCACAGGAGCCTTCATTAGCTAAATAGTCTCTCCTGATGATTCTGATCATTCCCCCTCCATTTGCCTTCCACAGTAATGGACAAAAAGAGTCTAGCCATGTCTCCAAATAACTTCTTATTAATCAATTGCAAAGTACCTTTCAATGATACTTTATATCAAAATGAGTATTTAAATGTGATTAAAAATGTGTAGATCTCTTTCTGGGTCCTGAAAAATAAAGGAGCAGGTAGAAGCATTCTGCAGAGTGTAGGAATATTCTGTTCTGATTTTGCTAATTCCCATTCTCATGGTAACAATC